GGGAAAAATGGCGATGAGGGACAGCAAAGCCTGCTTTGGTCATGAGTATCATCAAGCCACTCATATGATTGAGATGAGTGGAAGAAATTAATAAGTGAAAATAGAAGGGTCGCATTGACTCCCGGGAAACAAAGCACGAAGCCCCGGGGGTGAGCAGATGGTCTTCAAATCAGGAAAGAGACATGGAAAATATGTCGGGTCGTGGACTCGTTTCGAGCCTGGTCTAAAGGACACGAGGCGGATAGATCACAAGAATTCATCAATAGATCTCATGATCAGGGGCTCGCTGCTGGATGGAGGCGAGCGGGGGTCTGCCGGTTCGGTGGCAAACCCCATGGCATGGGGGATAGGAGGTGGAGACAGGGATGCGGAGCGATCAATCTGGCGGAATGATGCTGGTGCCAAAGGAGTTGGCGTGAGGAATTCGTTTGTCCTCGGTGAAAACAAACCACCACTGGAGTCTTCACGTACAAACACATGGGTCTGAACGAGCGGGTCACAGCTGCTGACGCTACGCGGAAACCCTCGTAGCCGGCCAGAGGCAGGTCCCACGGACTGAAACTTCTGTCGGAATGGGAGGGGTCGGGGAGACAGACTCCGCTTGGGCGAGTAGGACTTGAATTTTGTGTAGCTACCGTCGTCGCTCGTAGTGGGACGCGTCGATCTCGTTTCTGGGATTGAGAGGCAACTAGTTGAAGGTGCCTGCGACAGTCCGCGGAATGGTGGTCGACTAGATTCGTTGGACTCCGGGCGCTCAGCTCGTGCAACCTGAGGCTCTGAGCTTCGTCGGCCAGTTTGGACGAACCACTCCTGAGGTGGGGGCTTAGAGGTAGATCCTCGCAGCAATTTAGAGCGGAAGTCGGTGAGCTGGTAGATGAGACTCATGTTCGGGCCAACCCACTGGCTGCGTCCCTTAACTGCTTCGTACATCGAGTTGAAATCCAGGTGTCGGTTTTTGTATAATCCATAGGCAATCACCAGCGATGCTGAGCGGCTGGCACCCAGCTGGCAATGCACCAGAACTTTCTTTCCATCAGCGATCCGGTCATCAATCAGCTCACAAAGCGGGAGCAAATCTTCGAGAATTTCGGAGTTGTGGTCCCAACCGACGTGGAGGTACTCCGGTAGTGAAGTTGTATGAGTTGAGATAGTAGGGGTTGGCGACTCTGCATCCGAGGGCTGAAATTCCCAGGCAGACTTGAAGGACATCTCTGAAATCGCGGTCTGGGGCTCCCCTCGGGAGAAGCGTTTCGAGGCCATGGAAGCGTTGCGCCATGTGCTCATCACTGTATCATTCCGTTCGTCCTTGCTAGTACTGAACGGGTTCACCACTTCTTTGGCGACGTTGATCACCACGTCGAATTTGGACGCTTCTTCTGCTGTTGGTTCTAGATACAGATAGACACCAGAGTCATGGATCCGGATAGGCCCATCCGGGTAGCCACGATCCTTCTTGCGGGTCGACTCGCGTGAGTCGAGGTGGTCATCCTCTTCTTCTAGGCCATCAAGAACACGGCGAGAGAAGCCAGATCCATCAACCGGCTTCAAGGTGACAGGGGACGCAGCATCATCAGCAGACGCGCTAGAAAACCGGCGCGTACCATGCGGCATTAGTCGGGGAAGCTGCATGCCTCCCCGTGGGGCGAACGAGGGTGATGTAATCGATGCAAGCGAAGGAGAGGATTCTGCGTGACGTAGGGATGGAGTTGGGGGCACGACATCAGTGGAGATACTGGATAACGGTTTGTTGAAAGTGGGCGTTTGGATGGTCAGATTAGCGACGCGACGCCTCGTGCTCTTGCTCTTGGAAGGGATCTGGATGGGAGATGGTGGGGCATCAAAGTGGTGTTGTGACGTTGTCTCCACCACTGATGCAGTAGCGATAGGTGGGCGAGACTGAGATGGGGGTGGCATTCGCAATGACAAATTCTTGAGATTACGCGCCCGCCGATTTGGTGAGTCGGGGCGCGTATTATGAGGGATCGGTTGCGACAGGCGCGGTTCACCGACAGGCGCAAGGCGCGGAGGAAGCTCCGCGGGGCGTGTGGAAGGTATGAACTTTGGGTATGAGACGGACATAGCAGATGGAGATTCCGGGGACGAGCTCGGAGAGATGTCACCCCCGCCGGGCGAATCAAAGGGTGAGATGGTGGTGGTCGGGGATGACTCGGTGGATGCCGAGGTCATGGATGAAACACTTTCGCGGTGGGGGGAAGGAAGCAGGCGTGTATTGACAGGGACATGGGTTGGATATTGAAGAGGGTGGATAGTGTTTGCTTCTTCTTTGTATCGCGGAAGGGGACCACCAAACACCGACATGAAAGATGGAAATGAGTCCGGAAAGGACGGCTGGCTAGTTTGCACTGGCATTGTCCGAGGAATCGACACTGTGAAAGGGAAGTTCCTTTCAATCCGGCTCTCTCAAGAGAGGCTAGAATGGCATTCGGGATGGATCGAAGATGCACTTGCTGCCTGCGCAAATGGGGTCTCTATTAGGAAGGGTGTTTAGCTTGAATCCAGGGTAGCTGAGATGCAAGGGTTTGAGACTAATGATCAAGGGGAAAGGCATCCACACGACGATGTCATGAAGGAGAGTGGGAACCAGTGTAATAAAGAGGTTGGATATAGGAAAGCCGTCCACATACCAGATCACAAGGGTATGTGTAATTTTCTTTTCCAGTATGGGACAAGGAATATGAAGGAATGACTGGACCAAAGATCTAAGATCGAGCAAAGAAAATCAATCAAAGATCAAAGGAATAAAAAGGTATCAAGGTAGAGGGGAGAGTATAGAATCAAAGCGGTTCCTCCAGGGAACTGGAAGGAAAGAGAAGAATAGATAGATGTAGAAAGGGAAAAAAGAAAAGAAGACGGGTTTTCCCTTGATGTGAAGTAACATACAATACAAAAAAGGAGGGGAGATAAAACCAATCAATGTTGCTCTAATTTTAGCCGCCCTGGAATGTTTAGTCGGCGTCAAATCAACGTAAATGAGAGGCTCGAGAGTGTGCCTCTTCCCACCTTAGTTGTATATTATCTGTTACCGTATTTGAAAATAGTATTCAAATGATCATTCTACATATGTAATATTCATTCAATGTTCTTTCTATTTCTCCAGGAAAATACTACTCTCTCAGGTCCCACATAGTATAGTCCCACTGAGTACATGTACGGAGTATGTTTCTTAAAGTTGGATGATTGACAATCCCCATCTGTTACACACAATACCAAAACACACAAACGGCTTTAAGACCGAGATGACAAGGGGGGAGACATTCGAGACGGGATATGGTGGAGATGTGCGGTGCGTAGTAACCCGAAAGGGAGAGAGTCTTTGTCAATTCCAAATTCACTTTTCCGTCTTTAATACCTAACTCCGCTTTTCTAGATAGTTAAACTACTCCGTACGGAGTGGTAGTTACATGTGTACATTATCCAGGTCAAAACAACTTGAAAATAAATTCGAATGGGTGAACGGTGGGCTGGCTGATGGGTTGTGTGGACATGATACCATTGGATTCAACATTTTAGGGGCCCCAAATAGGCACAGAAAGATATCTGATTGGATGAGATCAACAGCACAAGGCACAACCTGAAACCCCATGGATCTGGGTTTGGCGCTGGATGAAACACGCCAAATTCGCACTAGTGGGAGACTAGTGGGTCTTGGCATGATTTTGGAGATACGGAGTATACAGAAACAGATCGGAATCTTTGAAATTTCATCTAATCGTGGCAACATTTACCTAAGTTATGTGTACAGTGTAGACTGTTTATTATATCAGCTGGGATTACTCCGTATACCGTGTATGTATGAAGGCTGGGAGACTTATTGAAGCTTGAGGCCCACTATACTTTCGGGGAATGACGAATGATCGGCCTTCTCCACGTGGATTGTAGTCCTGAAACTTGATCTTCACTTTGCGATATGCCGACGCTGGAGAGGATATTCCCACGGTCTTCATCATCCTGTAACCGAAATCTGGCTTGTGCCAGAGCAGTTGCAGATAGATGAACCCCTTTCTCTGGCGTTCTTAATCCTGAGGAAACTCCAGATGTTTCAGCATGAACTTGCTTCTAAAAATAGACATCCCAATTGTGCTGAGCGTACTCCGTACACTTGGTTGGCATTCTTGTTTCAGACTTGAACACTTTCCATTGGTTTGTCGC